TCCAGGCGCCCCCTGCCCCCTTCAGCGCCCCTCTCTGCACCCCACTCACCCGCCCCTCTCTCCTCCAGGCGCCCCCTGCCCCCTTCAGCGCCCCTCTCTGCACCCCACTCACCCGCCCCTCTCTCCTCCAGGTGCCCCCCTGCGCCCCCCGGCCGAGCGCGGCCTCCAGACCTTGCTGGATTTCCTCTCCTCCCTGTGTCTTCCAGGTGAGTGCCAGGGCCAGACCCTGGCGGGGTGAGGGGGGTAGTGAGTAAAAGTGGGGGGGCTGGGAGCCAGGACTCCTGGGTTCTCTCCCTGGCTCTGGGAGGGGAGTGGGGTTTGGTGGTTAGAGCAGGGGGCGCTGGGAACCAGGACTCCTGGGTTCTCTCCCTGGCTCTGGGAGGGGAGTGGGGTCTGGTGGTTAGAGCGGGGGAGGGGGGGGCTGGGAGCCAGGACTCCTGGGTTCTCACACTGGCCCTGGGGGGCGGGGGCTTGCCCATGGAGCTAACCAAGGGGTCTCTGTCTCCTTCCCTCCTTCAGAGCTGGGGGCCCTGGATCGTCTGCCCCTCCCCAATGCCGCTGGGCAGCCCTAGCCCCCCGGTCCCCGCCAATCTGCCTATGCCAGGAGCCCCCCCTCACGGTGACAGGCGCACACCCCAGAGCAGTGCCCCCTGCCCTGGTGTGGACATGCTCAGCCCTCCCCCATCTGCCCCCCCACCTCGGACACCCCCCCCATCTCGTGGCCTTCCACGCAGACCTGCCCCCTGTCCTGTTCTGCCGCTGCCAGCCCCCTAGTGTGATGCCCCCCTGGCCAAGCAAGGGGGAGTCGCCCCCGGGTACCCCATTCCACTTCCTGCCCTAGTGTGATTCTGGCAGGGGAGTGGCGGTTAGTGGTTAGAGCGGGGGTGGGGCTGGAAGCCTGGACTCCTGGGTTCTCTCCCCGGCTCTGCGACTGCTTCCGCATGTGTCTTTGAGGGTACGTCCCTTCTCCGTCACTCATTGCCTCAGTTTCCCCTCCCATGGCCCCCCAGAACGCCCTAGTCATCATGCGGCATGGGGGACAGTGACGGGGCTGTGGACTCCCGGGAGACTCCCCCTCTGCAGTACAGGGCACTTGACACAGCTGCAGCCAGCGCCTCCCCGCGACGCATCCCGGAGCTGGATGTCAACCCGACGCTCCCTGAGCACGGCGGCTGGGACCGCCGGCGGCCCGCGACGGAGGGCACAGATGGGGCCGGGGACCCACGAGTCCTGCGGGGATCCTGGGGGAACAGACCCTCCCCAGACTCAGCCCCCCACCTCAGGGGGGCGAGGTCGCCCTAAGCAACCAGCCAATAAATATATTTCACTGCTCGATATACCTGTGTGGTGCTTGGGGTGGGGCGGGGGGCTGGGAGCCAGGACTCCTGGGTTCTCCCCCAGCTCTGGGAGGGGAGTGGGATATAGTGGTTAGAGCAGGGGGGCTGGGAACTAGGACTCCTGGGTTCTCTCCCCCGCCCCTGCAAGAAGCTTAGGAGTGATACAGCAGGAATCTGTGGGTCGGCAGCCTCCTCGGGGTCGCTCTCACTGGGGTGAGCCCTCGGCTTCCCGCCCCCTGGGACCCCCCCCCGGGTCAGGCCAGAGCCCCCTGCAGCAAGTGCCCCAGGATGGGCCCTGGGGCTAGACGGACCCCCCCAGAGGGAGCCAGGCCCCCCAGCTCCGGGCTGGAGATTGACTCAGCCGGGGGGGGAGCGCAGGGGGTAGTTGGGGATCTGGGTGCAGCGCGGAGAGTCCTGGGTTAGCGCCGAGAACAGAAATTACAGCCAGAGGGCCCCCCCCGACCCCTTAGTGCCCATGCCCCCAGCTGCCCCACATGGAGCAAACCCCCCCGGCTCCTCCCAACACTTTGTCCTGCAGCTGGTCGCACCCGGCCGGCTCCCTGCCCAGGGGGCGCCCACGGGCATTAGCTGCTGGGTGCCAGCGGGCCGGGCTGGGCTCAGGTTGCCAGGCTCAGTCACACCTGGGGCTCTGGGTCACTGCAAAGGGGGAACCACCTTCTCTCCCTCCGCTAGCTAACCACACAGCTCGTGGGGAAACTGAGGCACGCACAGACTATTGTGGGAAATTCCCACTTCATCACCAGGGCACCAGCGGGGCGGCGGGGAGGCCCAAGGGCTGGGGTAGCAGGGGGCTGCAGGGCGGGAGTGAGGGGCACCGCCAGGGCTGGGGTGAGAGCCCCCCCCCCATGGGGCAGAATCGGGAGACCCCCGGCCTGGCAGGGGTGAGAGACTGGGGGTCTTGGGGGTCACAGCAAGGGGGCTCCCGGCACTTCCATGCACCATCTGGGAAGGAGGGAATGGGGGTGAGCCCCCCAAAGACCCCCAGCCCATGGGGAGAAGGGTACAGATGGGGGGTAGGGGGACCCTCAGGATGGGGGGAGGATGGGCAGGGAGCCCATGGAGATGGGGAGCAGGTAGCAGGTGGGGGGGAGCCCCAGGGCAGGGGGGAGCCCAATGGCAAGAGCAGGGGGCTCTGATGGGGAGGTCTGGGGGTGCACAGAGACCTGGGGGAGGGGAGGAGCCCCATGGGTTCCCCGCCCCCCAAGTCCATCCCCCCATTCCCAGCACACCCCTCAAAGCTCTGACCCCCACCTTGGGCTCCGTGGAAACTGCTGCTAGGAACCCCCCCGCAACCAGCCTAGGGCCCTGACACCCCCAAACTCCGTGACAGTCCGTCTGTCTGTGTGTGTGTGTGTGTGTGTGTGTCCGTCCATCTGTGTGTCCTTCTGTCTGTGTCTGTCTGCGTGTGCGTCTGTCTGTGCTGACCTGCAGGAGGGGGGATGGTCTGCGGGGGGCCGGGGGGGGAGTTTCTCCTCACCCACAAATCCTGACCCAATGTCCATCCAGGGGTCCCCGGGATTCGGCACGGGGGGGGGGGCGTCGACTGGGATGGAATCCAGCTGGGCCAAGCCCCAGATATGTCAGCCAGCCCCACACAGAGCCCCCCAGCCCTCCATGCCCCCACCCCTCACAGCCAGCCCCACGGACCCCTCCTTCCACCCCCACCCCCTCTCTCCACACACCCCCAGCCCTCCCCAATGAAAACACCGGCCACTGGCTTTAGGCTCTGAGTCACCAGACGGAAAGTAAAGATCCTTTATTGGGGGCGCACGACCCCCGGACGGTGGGACACACGGATGCGCCCCCCCCTCAGTCGGGGTTCACCACCAGCAGTTTCTGCATGTAGGAGTTGAGCCATTTCTGGCGCTCCATGGCCGTCAGCATCTTGCTCCGCTCCCGGAAAGCCGCGTCGTCCGCCACCACGATGCTCCTCTTCCCGCCCCAGCCCGGGGCCAGCTCCGCAGGCGGGACTTCCTGGCTTGGCCCGCTCCAGAGGCGGGACTTCCTGCTTCGCCCCTCTCCGGACAGCATCCGGAGGCTCCAGTCCTGCAGGGTGATGGACGGCAGCTGCAGGTCCCAAGCCAGGGGGCGTTCGCCGGGGTCGGCGGGGTCCTGTGGGGCATCCCGCATCCACAGCCTAGGCAGAGAGAGAGAGAGAGGAGGGAGGGAGGTGGGTA